CTGTGCAAATTTTTGTTAAGGTGGATTAAAAGTGTACATTTGCACCTCAGCTCAATCAAGTGACAAATAATGAAAAATTGCAGAAGTCTGTAAATCTGGCATGGCAAAAAAGCCGTTCCTTGGTCAGTTATTACATATGCATTTGGGGTATAAATATTCTTTACAAGAGAGGTTCAGTTAATTCAAGACAAAGATTTTTGCAACATTGGCCAATTTTCGAAATTGCATGGGAAAGGTTTACTAATTGTTGACTTGTATCCTGATAACTCCTGGAAGGCGATAAGCATTATGAATGTTATGTATGTATTTATAAATTTCTTGATGGGCAAAATTTTCCAGTTGGGCAAATTATACACATTAATTTTTTGAAGGGGTATAAATTACATGCTTGGAATGTAATTTGAAAAGTTTGACTTATCTAAATTTAACAGTATTTATAAATAGGGACATATGTATGTATATATACATTTATGTACGTAGGCATAGTTATCTAGTTTCTGAAATAGACATAATTTCACTTTACACAAATTGTAATCAGCAGGTTTTTTTGTCAAATCTCATCCATTTTCATCTGCCCAAGACCTACATAAATATGTACTCACGTTTGTAAATAGATCTACATAGATCATTTCTAAAATATTTTTCCCATAGTTGATGCAATACACAAGAGTACAAATTGTTGGTTGCTTATAGCTGGAAAAACGAAGGATAACGCGTGAAATTAGTCCAACACTACGTAATATAACAAATTGTACGTGGACAAATCTTTCCTCGATAATTGCATTTACTTCAATGATCACCGATATGCATATTTAGTTAGCAAGAACGGAATACCTAGAAATGACCTAACAGGATGACACAATAGTATCAAAACCATGATTATTACCTTTCCATGGAAATAAGTAGCTCAGCCCACAAAACCTGACCATTGATTCTTTTTCTCATTGTGCCGTCTAATTCTGTCCTTAATTGCATGTTGCATAATCCCAAATATATATACATACATGATATCTATCTAAATATTTTTAAACCATTGCAGCATGCTTGTATTGCCCTTTGTACATAGGCCTTGCAGTAGGCAAGTCCTGCAAATGGGGATTTAATAAGCAAAGATTTTGCATGAAAGTAATAGTTGCATAAATCTTTAATGTATTAAGACTGTAACTCTACTAATTCCAGAGGCATTAGGTAGACACATGTACATATGTATGTATGAATGTGTAGAGTAACAACCGAAGAATCTAAATATGTTGAAATTTACTGTCAATTTTTGATCATTTGAATATATACATACATATTTACGATTTAGGTAAATATCTAATTAACCTTGATCTAAAATTTTACACTAAGAATAGAACACGTTCCTGGTCCAGGAATCCTGGAGCTTCAAAACAAAAATGACAAGTTTGCATTACATACCGACTTAACTAGTACGCTTTATGTATTGGAGCTTTATGATATAACATTATAAACTATTGGAGAGTGGTTATATTGTTTATCGCCAGCTAGCGAAGGAACAGTGAGTAAATAATCTGGATTAGATATAGCCAGTTGCCATAGCCAGTTGCCAGTTCCATATCTAAATACAGATTTTTAAATTCAAATTTTTACAGCCTCGTGAGAAAATCAGTTCCTTTTACATGCACAGTTCCATAATGCATATGCTGTGACGAAGGAAAATTATGGCGGATCAAAATTTACACATCCGTTTTATGTAGTTTTCGCCCGTGGAGTAAAAGCGAAAGAAGATTCACGCAAAAATTGAACTTTGCCGTCAATATTTTTTCTTCCGAGGTCTTTCAATGGAAAAATTAGTGGCATATGATTCCTGATGTTCAGCTTGGTTTTTAAATATAACTCGCTAGACAATCCCGGTGTAGCTTGCAAAAAGTTTGTTTAAGCTTCACAAAATAATTTGACGCTTCACTAAAGCATCTTTCATATTGTGGGCGATATCTCTTACATCGTTTGATTTCTTGACAAGATTCGGCTTCGTCGGTGGCACTTTGAAATAACTCCTATTAATCAAATTTAGCATGACATGTTCGTAAGTAATCACATAAAATGTCACGCTAGCATGAAAAGGTTTGCCTTCATGTTCCTTGCTTTCACAATAATTAAAATATTGTTGCGTGTTTTTTAGTATAATGTTTTTGTCATATTTACAAATTTGCTAATACATTGTCAACCATCGCAGACAAAACAACTAGTCCCTTAAACAACTTATTTTCCAAGTTATTTATATACCTTCAAAAGTTAAACGTTTCATCGTACAACATATCGTTGTCGACATGGCAGCTATACTACGCAATATTTTAATACACCACTGCATCATTAGAATATCCTTCGCTCAAAATCCTTATGAAATAATAAATTTTGATAAGAAAATCAACTCATTTTCCTCCTCTTGCTACTTAAGTATTTCTTACTTTAAAAATTTTCACATTCCATCGAATATACGAAGACCATACCAATTAACCAAATATGTTCCTGTTGAAGGATCTACGAAGAAGTGAGCAGTCTTTTCTTTACTTACCTATTTATATATTTATGCTGCTATTTATAAATGTTTACTAATGAAATAAGTAAATTCATAATTTCAGTTCCATCCTGACCAAGGAAAATATATTGCTTCAGCCCATTGATCCTATATTTCGCTCCCTCCATGCTGGACCAAGTTGCGTTATCTTTGTCATAATTGTGAAGCCCGAGTTATCTCAAGAGTACGACACATTCGCCTGGTTCAGTTTGAAGAATTCGCCTTTAAAACCTAATACACTCTGGAATATAAAGCGTCGAAGCAGATATTTTTCCTACTTTAATTCTGGTATGATTGCATTTTTTGGTAACATTAGTGAAATCAACTCCCGTACTAGGATTCTAACTCGGTCTCTCCTTGGGCAACCAATCATACTGTTCTTTCAAATTTTGTTTGTTAAAAGCATTGATAGTAGTTATTTGATTGAACCAAATTTCGATGTATTCTGCCAAAATATTAAATTAGCTGAAAACATAAAGTTGCACCGTCTACTTGCTGACTGCAAGAAGTTAGTCCGACCGGAGCATTTGCGCAAAGGGTTTGACTGGAAACCTCAAGATTTCCTTAACTCTATCAGTGGCATGAAATTTTATTCCATGCAAGACTCGCTAAACGGAGTGTTGAATCACATGCTTAATATGGAAACAAATACGACCGATGGCTTAAACCCGGTAGTAGTAGAGGCTAGTCTAGATATGACAAGCCCTAGAAGGCTGTCTTTCACTCGTTCCGATATGACGGGTATGTCCTTTATTCTAGTAGGGAACTGGTCGTTCTCATTCGTCACGTGTTCATCCTTAACCCAAAGTCGAGTCGACTATTGGGGTTATGTGAAACCATTCAGTGCTTCAGTCTGGTACGGTTTATTGCTTTGCACACTTTTGGTAACGATCTTCCAGATTTTACAGAATTACTCGAAGTATTTGTCCTTAAGTTGGCACGAATTGGCGTACGCAGCCATTAACGCACTGCTTGATATCGGCTTTGTCATCGTTCAGAGGTCTAGTTCCACCTTTCAGATAATGTTTCCTAATCCGGCGTCTGAGAAACTACTCATTCTCTGGACATTGGTTACCTTCGTTGTGGTAAATATTTACATGAGTATCGTTACAGAAGACACGACCGCACCACTAGTGTCAAACCCACCAAGGATGTTCGATGACTTGATTGAAAAGGGGTTTCGAATATACAGCAGTTCAATTAGCGAGGATAGGTACCGATTTTTCATGCCACAAACCTTATTGAAATATCGCTGGGGAATGAGTGAGTTTGACGCACAAATTACAATGCGGCATAATATTTGGACGGACGCACTGTCACATGAAGTTCGTACCGCGGTTATTGCCGTCAGAAGTCATCGTTGGTGTGCCGCTCGGAAAACTATGATTAAGCTGAAGGATATTCCGTCAGTGTTCTGCGAAGGTTTGAATTGGACGTCGTTCTACACTCTCAATAATTTTTGGACAATATTGTTACCGGCGGAGATACTATGCAATTCTACCGGGTGGTAACACTATAGTAACAAATTGTCTTCTGTGGGTAAGAAATTGCCTTTGGTATCGGTAATATTTTTATTACCTGTGCGTTGACATTGGAGGCGGAGCAGGATTTAGCCTCTGTATATATGTTACCCTTCGGTGATAAATTATTACCAGAGCAGTAGAGTTGCATACTACCTCCGCCGGTAACAATATCATCAAAAAATTATTGAGAGTGTACAAGGATAATCACAACCTGCTCACCCAGGCTGAACTAGAGTTTAGCAATACTGAGCTTGGCAGGATAGCAGAAATATCGGATGTACGGCGTTCCTCTCTAATTTCTGAGATTGTGGGGAAATGTGATAAAACCGCGTTGGTCGCACCGACCGTTTACGTAATGTCAAAGAGCTATGTTCTCAAGATTCTGGGCGGAACAAGTTCGCACTTGAATAGGAAACCGTACGTGAAAAGTATTGGGACTGCTTTTTCTAGAAGTATTTACATAAGGATTGTAAAATGGGGGGCCGTAAGTGAAGCGTTAAAGGAGAAGATTGATAAAATCGTTGAAAGCGGGTTGTACCGGTTTTGGGAAGCTTTTCTAATACATGTTCAAACCGTTGGTGGAATCGGGAGAAAGGGGGAGGAATCATTTTCTCAACAGCAACTGAATTCTAACATTCTTACGGTGTTTTTCATATTAAGTATCGCTGTAAGCCTCTGTGTTGTGATTTTTCTTGTCGAGGTTATGCCATGGTGGAGAATGAGTATTTTAAAAGTCATGAGAGTTGCTTTCGATCGCTATCTTGCACTTGTTAAGAAGTATCGTAGAAAGGGTACAAGAATCGTAGCAATCCGAGTTATGTGTAACCAGTGACTTAAAAATTTTATTTTAACCCTTATGATAGTTTGCAATGGCAAGAGGTCGCGTTCCGGGACATTTTTTGTACAACTTTGAAAAAAATCGACGCACGTAAAATAAGTCGTAGCACAAATCTAAGATCTCTTTAATTTAATTTTCGATCTAAGATTTTGTGGATAAATTCTGGTGAAGCTAAAAGGCGGTTCTATCGCTAAAATGATTTTTAGTATGTATCTAATGTACAGGAAGTGCTGGTATTAGATGTAAGATACAATTTGTCTGCACATCCCAGCTCCATTAATTGATTGATTGTTTGATTGATTAGGTTAATACTTAAATAATAATTGAATAACAATTTTCCAACATTATAGGGAAATTTAAAAATATACATTTCCCAATTTATTGATTTTTAGTGTCATTTACTTATAATGCTACCGAACAATGTATGTACGTCTTACTAAAGTCAAGTTAAACAATGAAACCCAATTGGCCATACAAAGTTTTCATAGCAGCCAGAATCTGCCCATAATACACATTTCCACAAAATTTAGTAATAATGGCTAACTGTTTTAACGCAAAAGTGTCAATCTTCACAATTCTGAAGAGTTCAGCCCAATCTGCGAAGGGAAGTAGACATACCCCGCCTGGGGTTGACACGACATAACAAATTGGATGCGACCTGTGCGCAACTTCCGCAATTTTACTGCAATTCATGGAAACGTCACGATTGGCGATTGGTTCAAGGGCCCTTTGCAAGCAGGACATTGTGCTCCAAATCCAAATTTGTCCTTTTCGGGTAAATTTTGACACATTTTTAGTAAATATAATGCAATATTTTTCCCCATAGCCGGTCGCGTAACCCTGTGCTCCGCACGGAATGGCCTTCTCAAGACAACGCGAGTAGAAAGAACAGTCCCGTTCGTACGATACGCATCGGGACAAAGTTTGTGCTGAAATTTTAGTCGTATTCGCTGATTCGAGATCAAGGGAAGTTATATCAAATGCAGTTTGTCCTGAAATTATTGAACAATATTTTGTAAATGGTTTGTTACTTAGGGAATTCGCAAAGCCCTGGGAAACATTGTAAAATCCATAAGTTCTGTAAATTACTATAATTTTTGGTATTGTTTGACGAATAGTTATCAGTGCTGCACAGATAATCCGTAATTGATTCATTGATATGACTTGTATGGACTCCTCCAACCGCAGATCGTATGAAATCCACAATTGCGGTATGACCACTAGTTAAATTTAAAAAAAATACAATAAGGTCAGGTAGGTAGATGCTACCAACTGAACATTACATCCTTACAATGGGGACGCAAACCATGCTCAACCCAGATTTTTTTAGCATCTCAATTTGAAGGACAAACTCTTTAGAAACAACATTCATTTAGTGCGGAACTAGCGCAGATGCCCAAAATTCAGAGAATCCACGACGCCGCAATTTCGCCGAAACGCTCGGTCTTCACAAAAAAAACAATGCTAAAAAAGTTTGAGCTTCTTCTGCGAGACAGATTCTGCTCGAAAACCGAGCGTTCTCGTAACCTCGTTACGCCAATAGCGATCTGAATTTTGTGCATCTGCGCAAATTCATCACTAAACAAATGTCGTTTCTAAAGAATTTGTCATTCAAATTGAACTTTTTGAAGAATAATCTGGGCTGAACATCGTTTGAGTCCCCATTGCTAGCAGCCTAGACTTAAATTGAGACAAAAGTTATATACATACACACAAAAATGCAATTCACAATTATATTTACATATAAATACCTACATACATATATGTAAATATGTACATAGTTAATACATACCTTCTAGTAGAATACTGATCACCTCCAATATTTGTGCTAATGATGGATATCAAAATCAATTCAAATCTTGAGAAATCCATTATTACGTACCTACATACGTAACTCTACAATTTGTGCGGCCTCACACTGAAGTGTTTTTAATTTAAATGTCTTAAGCATAAACTTGCAAATATGTTAAACAAATAGATTCACAATTTTTTATTTCAAAGGTAGATAAATTAAAACGTAAACTTAACTATGTAAGAACAACACAAAAGTAAATACGCAGGTTTTCCAAGTAAATACTTATCTATTTATTTGGACTTCCCATTCGGTTCAAAAAACGTCTTTAGTGTATGTATTTATCTGAAAAGTTACAGGCTATTTAACTAAACGATTGCTTGCTGGGTAATTTCCAGTCCTGTGAGAAGATGTGGCACATATGCAAAGATAGGTCATGAAAATAATTGCAAATCCCCGGAATTGGCCTTGCGTGTGAAATCGTTTTATTGCTACCAGGATAAATTTTTTCTCACCATGCAAATAAAGCAAATAAACTTTTTTATTTAATTCTTCGTGTTTTTCCTTCTACCTGTTTATTAAGCATGAATACTTGGACATGTTGTATGTATTCGCATGATGCACAATGGATCTAAACTTTATCCAGTAGATTTAAGATTGTCCAGCATTGATAAGGACGGCATATTGTACAATAATTATACAAATTTACATACGTACTGGAATTGCTGGAAAATATGTACGAAGGGTATGTACTTAGGTAGGTGTGGATCCATCCATAAATTACGTAAAGCAAACATCGCTAAAATTGTCAAGCTTTGTTACGTTTATAGCTTTATTTGGTTATACTACATACGTTTTAACATATACATATATATATATATAAATAGGTTGCAACACTTTAAACTTGAAACTTGCGAAAATCTTTGGTATTTTCAAAAGTTAAGTTTAATATTGGCTCAATAATTTTGGTGTCGTTCATCTTCACACAATTACTTATACAACTTGATGTCAATGTGTAAGGATGGGTTAGTGTCATACACATACAAATATAAGTATGTATACATGCGGTCTGCTTTTTTGGATCGAAGTTTTTATTCTTGCAAAACTATAACATTAAATACTATAATTCTATGTCAGCGATTTGCCATGAATATGTATTGCATATTGTAATGTACGTTCATTGATTTTTTTATACACCACGTGTTTTTACAAATGTTTACGCATACAGTTTATTAATAAATATATTGACTTAGCTTAAGTTACAAACTTGAGAAATAGTTTTATGTTTCAACAAAGCTTCATCCATATTGTGATTGACATATGTGATTTCGTTCGACAACCCAAAAGTATCCCTAATCAGAATAATTCTCAAATATCGTCTTTTAATCACATCAAATATTGCGTGACACATATGCTCGTAACCAATCACATAAAATGTCACGTACATACATCTAGCCATGAAAAGGTTTTCTTTATGGAGTTAGCTTTCAAAATAATTAATATTGTTGTGCGTTTATTTGCTAAGAGTCGGTGCGGGTATTTATCTTGATTAAATGTTATTACTTTATGATAATCATTTTCGTCATATTTTCCAATTTAAAAATACACTGTCAACCATCGCTGACAAAACAAGCGGTCCTTTAAGGAGATTTATTTTCCAGATTATTTATGTATGTATGTATACACCTTCAAAGCGTAAAACTTTCATCCGACTAGTTGTTGACATGGCAGTAATACTGCGCAATATTTTAATATACATTTGTATCATCAGAATATCCTTGACCCAAAATCCTTATGAAATAATAAATGTTGGGGAGAAAATAAACTCATTTTCCCCTTCGTGCTATTTGAGCATTTCTTTCTTCAAAAATTTTCAAGTCCCATCGAATATACTGAGGCCGTACCAGCTAAGCAAATACATTCCAGTGAAGCGATCTGCGAATAAGTGAGCACTCGTCACTTTTGTGTATTGAAAAATCTTAAGTAATGAGATAACTAAATTTATGTATAATTTCAGCTCCAACCCGACAAAGGAAAATATATTGCTGCAGCCCATTGATCCTATATTTCGTGCCTTCCATGGTGGACCAAGTTGTGTTATCTATGTCATAATAGTAAAACCCGACGCATCGCATGAATACGGTACTGTCGTCGGGTACACTTCTAAACATTCGACTTCAGCAACACTACACGCTCACTGGAATATTAAGCATCGACATAGATACTATTCCTACCTTTATTCTAGCATGATTGCAATTTTTGGCAATACTAGTGAAATTGTATTACATAGGGCTCTGACCGCGTTTATATTTAGGCAACCTATCATTTTGTTCTTTCAAATTTCCTGTTTGACACGAATTAAGGACAGTTATTTTGTGGAACGAAATTTTACTCTGTTCTGCCAAAACGTCAAATTATCTGAAAACATGGATTTGTTTCGTATTATTGTAGAATGCAAGAAGTTAATTCGATCTAACAATTTACGGGACGGGTTTAATTGGAAACGTCAAAATCTCTTTAAATCCTTCACTGGCATGAAACCCTATTCAATGCAAGACTCGTTAAATGGTGTGTTGACCTACATGCTTAGTCTAGCAACAAATTCGTCTGTTGGTGTAAATCGGATCTTAATAAGTACTAGCATTGAGAGTACGACGCCTTTTAGTTTGAACTTCACAGATACTGATATAATGACGGTGTCCTTTATTCTCGTGGGGAATTGGTCCTTCTCGTTTGTCACGTGTTCATCCCTTAGCCAAAGTGCGGTGGACTATTGGGGTTATCTAAAACCATTAGATTCTTCAGTTTGGTACAGTTTAATATGTTTAAGCCTTTTAGTAACGATTCTTCTGATTGGGCAGAATTACACGAAATTTATGGCCCTAAATTGGCACGAATTAGGCTACGCGTTCTTTAACGGTCTGCTTGATGTTGGCTTTATCCTAGTTGAGAGATCTAGCTCCACGTTGCACGTAATATTTCAAAATTCTGAGAAGCTGGTCATTCTGTGGACATTGGTTGCCTTCGTAGTGGTAAATATTTATAAGAGCATCGTGACCGAAGAGACGACCGCGCCACTGACATCAAACCCACCCAGGGTGTTTAACGACTTGGTTGACGGGGGCTTTAAGCTGTACAGTAGTCCAATTTCAGATAGGTATAAATTTATAATGCCACAAACTTTAACGAAGTATCGGTGGGGAATGAGCGAATTTGATGCAAACATTGCTTCGCGGTGTTTGATTTGGAGGCGCACCCTGTTGAAAGAACTTCGTAATACGGTTGTTACTCTACGACAACTTTGCGCCAGTCCAGTAAAAATGGTTGAGATTAGGGAAAACGAATCAATATTCTGTAAAGGTTTAAATTTGACGTCGTTTTACGAGGCTAATCACAATTTGGTCACCCAAGCTGAGGAGAAATTTAAGAATATTGAACTTGGCAGGATAGCCGGTATATCGAATGTTTTGAATACCACTCTGATTTCTGAGATTCTTGGGAAATGTGACAAAACTGCTTTTGTCGCACCGTCCGTATTCGTAATGTCGAAGAGCTATTTGCTCAAAATTTTGGGCGGAACAAGTTCACATTTAAGTAGGAAACCGTACGTGAAAAGTATTGATACTGCATTTTCTAAAAGGGTGTATATAAAAATTGCAAAATGGGGAGCGGTAAGCGAATCTATGAAGGACAAAATGACTAACATCATTGAAGGCGGGTTTTACAAGTTCTGGGAAGGGTTTTTTGTTCATCTTCAAACGCTTGGGGGAGTCGGGAGAAAACGGGAGAATACGTTTTCCCCACAGCAATTGAATTCTAACATTCTTACGATGTTTTTCATATTGGGCATCGCCAGTGGTCTTTGTGTTATAATATTTCTAGGTGAGGTTGGGCTAGGGTGGAGAAAGAGTATTTATAAACTATTACGGGTTTGTCTGTATAGCTGTTGTGTACGAGTTAGGAATTTTCGAGAAAAGGTAGGAAGAGCGACCATTCAAGTTATGTTGTTAAAAATTTAAACTAGCAAGTTTACCGGCATGTACATACACACAAATTACATTATACGTATTTATAGGCACAGGTAAGTATGTAGGTTAGGTTAACATACGACATTTGCATATATACATAAGTCGTGAAATAGCAATATAAATATACTTAAGGGGTAAGTGAAATATCCTAAGGGACATTAATTAATTTTGCAATTGAAGTTAGTTTCGCTGGTGGGAAGTTGATATTACCGAGATGAATACTTTGTTAAATAAATGCATATCTCGTTTCATGGGAAATATATGCATCAAGGTTTTAGCCACTTCGTTCACTAATTTCCTTACCAGAAATGTGTAACTATGATTTAATTAGGCAAATAGGTACATATGTATGTATCTATTACCCAGCGTGCCACAATTTCAAAATCTGGTGGTAGATAATTATTTCGCCCATTAACAATATGTAGAGATACCGTACTAAATACACAAATCAATACAATGCCAATTTGTACATAAAATAAAAGTACATATTGGTAAAAAATGGCGCAATAATGTAGGCACATATGTAAACATGTATAGTTATCCATTCACAAGGAAATAAAATATATGGAAATATAAGGAAATAATAAGGAATATTTATTTGTCCATTATTTATTATTAGGCATACCAAGACGTATCTGGTACATATAAAATTTTATTTGTATATATACATATCTTAATCATTTAATCTTATTTCTCCTCTCAACCAGAAAAGTTGTCGTTGTTAACACTATGATGCAAAGTATCGGCACAGACGCCATTTCGAAACACCGTCGGATCCGTTATGCCCCACCCTCTGATCATGATACAGCGGAACACGCGGATCGGAAATGTGTAAGGAAAACAGAAACAGACGTACCGGTACCACCACACGACAGACTCGATTGGCCAGAATGTGTCTGAAAAAATATCCAAAATAAATCCTAAATGCATTAATGCATTTTCCCATCGCAATAGTATGAATATATTTAATAAATAATACTATTTATTACAGAAATATATTTCTATGTATTTGTCCACAGGAGTGCTCACAAGTTAAAATTTTATATATTTCCTTCAAAAAAATTGCTTAGCATCGCAATAATTTCAAAATTTACCTTAAACGTTTTCAATTGTTTCAAAGTTTTGGAACTACATTTAAAAATAAATGTTGCAGAATAGTAAACAAATTCCGAATTTCTGAAATTATTTTTGGTCTTTTGCAAATTTGAGTTTCTACTGATTAGCTTTGAAGTATGTACGATATGTACATACATGAAATAATTAACTTCCAATTTGATACTCTCATTGTTAGAAATCTTGGCTCAAGTAATCAGGACTATATCAGTTCTTTT